ACATTTCTCTGATCACTAGAGAGGCTTAGTAGCTATTCTTCCATTATTTTCTTAATTTATATAATTTGTCCACATTTTCCATTGAGTTGTTTTGTTAACTGACCCACCTTATATCTTAACTATTTTAATAATGACATTACAGGCAAATCATTTTCTCTACACTTCATATATAGTGGTTTTCCACAGAATACAAAGTTTATTTTTATGTAGGAATATTTGTTAATCATTGAGATTCAACAGATTAAATTTTTGTTGTTGTTGTTCTTGTTGCTTTGTTTTCTGAGACAGAGTCTCGCCCTATAGTTCAGGCTAGTCCCAAACTCACCATGCAGCCTAGGTTGGCCTTCAACTCTCAGCTATCCCCCTGCCTCAGCCTCTCAAGCACCAGAACCACAAGTGTGCACCACCACACCTGGCTTCAATAGGTTTTTTTTTCCTCCCAGTGATGGGGATTGAACTCAGGGCCTTTTGCATGCTAGGCAGGTGGTCTACCACTGAGCTACATCCCTAGCATTTTCTGCTTTTGTTTTTGCTTTGTTTTTATTTTGATACAAGATCTCACCAAGTCGCCCAGGCTGGCCTCCACTTTCTTTTATTGTTTCTTTATTTTTTGTTTTCTGAGTCAGGGTCTCGCTGTGTAGTTCAGGCTGGCCTTGAATTTGCTTATGTAGCCCAGGCTGGCCTCAAACTCACAGTGATTCTCCTGCCTCAGCCTCCCGAGTGCTGTGCCACTATGTCAGGAAGCCTTACCCTCGCCAACAGCTGGGACCACACACATGTGCCACTTTCTATTTGTTGGCCTATGGCTTTGTTACTGTTATTTGCCTTAAAAATAAAAAATAATAATTCATTGCCTTGTCAATGAATATAGAAATTCTACCTATGCTTACAAATTGTACTGATGTTGAGAGATGCAACTGTAGGCGAAATAAAAATCAATTAAAATTTGACTCAAATTTTAACCTTAATGTTCTTACTTAGAAGTTGGGCAAACTACAGTATCTGCCATTTTCTCCCTAAGTTCAAATGTTCAGTGATGTAATATACTTCACAGGAACTCAGTGCATAACTTTAAGGCATGAAAATACAATATGGCATCTATCCATCTCTTTTTATGGTGAGACAAGGTCTTGCTCTGTAGTGTAGGCTCGCCATGAACTCACTTCTACACCCCAGGTTAGCTTGGAACTCACGGCGATCCTCCTGCCTTAGCCTCCCAAATGCTGGGATTACAAGTGCGCATCACCATACCCAGCTATCTGTAGCTATATATCTTATAGAAAAATCTCTAAACTGTAAGCTTTAATAAAATGAAAATGTGATCGGCACATGGTGGTACATGCCTGCACTAGCGAAGGTGAGGCAGAAGAATCACAAGTGCGAAGCCAGACCAGGTTACCCACTCAACCAAAGGCCAGCTTCAAGCACACAGCAAGAACTCACCTTAAAAAATAACAACAACAAGAAAAAGAACATGTGAGCCAAGCATGGTAGTACACACCTCAATTCCAGCACTCAGGAGGTCAAAACAGAAGAGAATAAAGTCATCTCTTAAATTTTCACAGTAAAATCTAAGTGATCTAAACACAAATTCTACTAAGTCTATTATAATATGATTAAAGTCCACTGTTTTCTAAAAAATTACGATTTCTTTATTCCATAGTGAACCTAGATGGTTTTGATATTTTATTGCTCTATCTTCATAAGATTGATTAAAAATATCTTCGTAAGAACATAGAGAAACACTACTGTCTAAAAAAAACTGTGTATTCCCTAGCTACAGAAATAATTCCTGTGTTTTAGGAAACAACAGATGTTCTGTGGAGAGCTGTTATACATTACAGTTTTTAACTTGTTTAATATTTTGGAAAAAAAAGATATTCTGGTGACTAAATATCAGTTTAATCTAATAACTGCATTGCCCATGGGAGGAAAACTCTCCAACTTATCAAAACATTGCATTCCCAAATAGCTATGTTAAGGACAAATTACTCACCAAGATCACAAATAAATGACATGATATACCGCCCTAAGTTTTTGTTTGTTTGTTTTTTTGTCTTTTGAGACAGGGTTTCGCTATGCAGTTCAGACTGGCCTTGAACCTACAGTGATCCTCCTGCCTCAACCTCCCAAGTGCTAAGCTTATAAGGCATGCACCATGCCTGGCTTACATAAGCATTCTATCACTGAGGCAAGAGGACCGCCATGAGTTTGAGGCCTGCCTGGGCTACGCAGTGGTTCAAGGCCAACCTGAAGTACATAGCAAGACCCTGTCTCAAAAAAATAGTAATAATAATAATTTCTAGCTTTAGGATTCCTCATTAAATCATTCTTGGTTTTTTTTTTTTTTGAGACAGGGTCTCACTATGCTGTTCAGACTGGCCTTGAGCTCATTTTGTAGACCAGGCTGGTCTCGAACTTGCAACGATCCTCCTGCCTCAGGCTCCTGAGCGTTGGGATTACAGGCGTGCACCACCATGCCCAGCTCTGTTAAATCATTCTCATCAGGTCTTCCTATAATTCCTTGAACACAGTTTCTTCTGACTTTTTGTTTTGTTTCCTTCAGTACTGAGGACTAAACTCAGGGCCTTGTGCGTGCCAGGCAAACATTCTATTTCTGAGCTGCATCGACATCCTATTTTATTTTTAATTTTGGGACAAGGTCTTGCTTAAATTGTTCAGGATGGCCATCTCATGTTACAATCCTTTTGCCTCAGCCTTTCAAGTAGCTGAGATTATGGGCATGTGCCACTTTGCAGGGTGACACAGAATAGCTACTGGAGTCTATATTACACAGAATAGCTAAATCCACTATCTAAGGCATGTAGAACCACTTTCTACTGACTGTTTTTCTCCCCCCTAAGCACAGGTCACAGCTCTTGTCTCCTGAGCGCTGGGATTACAGGAGTGCACCACCATGCCTAGCTAGCGCCTGACAGTTTTCAATGAAATATTAAATATTCTAGAGTGCACTAGCAACTCTAGATTCTGAAATTTTGTCTTGAAGGTGGTAGTGATATGTTTGGACTAAATCTGTGAAGTCTATCTCCCCAGCATACGTAGCCAAAGAGATCTCTGTCCAGTTCTTCCTTTGTTTCTAGATTCAAACCTGGTTTCCTAAAGACTGCCTTGTATCTGCAGAGCTTAGTACACAGCCAAGGATTGGTCAGAAGTTAGAATCAAACAATTGGATTCAATAAGACTTCCAGTCTGTTGGTGTATCTATGTATGCGCAGGAAAATGCATTAAAAATTCAGGCCATTTTTAAGTTTCACCCAGAATCCACTGGCCATAGGCCCTCATGGGCTTCCTCTGCACGTATGGGCAGGTTCTGTCAGATCCGTGTGGAGAGCTTGGGCCCAATTAGTTTCTGCTGTGTATGTCCACAGCTTCTAGTACCTAAAATGTGTCAGGATCTTGTCAAGCCTGTTATGGCTACACCACCTCCAGAATTCCCAGTTAAACCTCCAGATAGTCTGCCAGTTTGTGTCTTGCCTGAAAAACACCCACCCTACGGCTAGTGAAGTCTCTTACCCCCTTGTTTCCTAGTTGTTGGTGATCACTACTTGAACCGACAATGCTCAAAATCAGGCAAAACTCTGTGGCAGGAATAACAGCAAAACTGCTGGTTTCACAGCCTTCCCTTCCCTGACTGTACTTCTCCACTGACCAAGCCACAGGTACAGATGAGGTTGGGAGTAGCACAAAGTAAGAACACTGTACATTTGGGCTGTTTTAACCTGAAATTTGATCGTTTTCTTGAATAAAAGCTTCTCAATTTGTTATATGCCTTAAATTTACTTTAAAAATACAAAAATAGCTTGTCTAGCTTTGAAGCTACTTAGTGTTTTGTTTCTTTGTTCAGTTGTTTTGTTTGAGACAGAGTGTCATGGCTTGCTGCTTCGCTGTTTTGCTGCCTTCTGCCTGCCCTGCTTCACCATGAACAGTTTCTCCTCTGTGTTGCCCTTCCGCCTTGCAGGCAGCTGACTATGGACTGAAACCTCTACAAACTGTGAGCACAAATAAACCTTTCCTTCTTTAACTTCAGGTGTGGGTATTTTGTCTCAAGATAAGTAACTAAGACACAGGGTCTCACCATATACTTCAGACTGGTCTTGAACTCACTATGTGGCCCAGGCTGGCCTCAAACTTGCAGTAATCCTCTTGCCTCTCTGCCCTGTCAATGCTGGTATTATAGGTCTGTGCCACCACCCTGGCTGTGGTTGTTTTTGGGGGACAGAATTTGTCATCTCATTCTATCATAATAGAAATAAATTTTCACTCTTTTATTTTAATGCTCATTTTCATTTCAATCTCAATTTTCATTTTAAGTAAACTAATACTGATTAAATAAACATGCAAGTAAGTGTTCTGAAATGTTAAAAACAATTTTAGAAGTAGAGATTATTTTGAGGTGGTACTGGGGATTGAACTCAGGGCCTTTGCAGTGAGCTACATTCCAGCCCTTTATTTTTTATTTTCAGAAAGGATCTCACTAAATTGCTAAGTTTCCCAGGCAGATCTCAAACTTGCTATCCTTGCGCCTCAGCCTCTGGGAGTATTGGGATTAAAGACACATGTCACCACCCCAGACTAGCAGAGACTACTTTGCTGAGTTTTTATGAACTGTCTCTACCCTTCCTTAAGGTATAATTTAATACATTCTGAGTAGGTCCCTTTATACTATTAGGTCATATTGGAAAACCATGGAAGATAGGAAGAAAGGAAAAGAAATAAAAAGAAAGGTAATGCCAGTATGGTGACACACACCTATAGTCCCAGCCTATAAACTCAGGGTTGCTGCAAACTGAGGACCAGCCTGGTCCTCAGCTGTCTGGTCCTCAGTTCCCTGTGTAGAACTCACCTACACAGTGAGTTCAAGGCCTAAAGTACATGTGGAGACCTTGTCTCAAAAATCCAAACCAACCCCCCCACCACAAAAAAAAAATGCAGTCAAAAGGGAGAAGAAGAAGAAATCTCACTAAGCATGAGTAACCAACCTGTGAGTAGTAAATGGTGAAGATGGCATGGGATCTGCTGCTAGCTTCATGAACATGGGTGGCTGCTGTGATTCTGTGTATAAAAGGGAAGACAGTTAGTACAAGGACTGTTTATGCATGTAGACTCTGAAGGATCCATGGGGAATACAAAAAAGATTAGTCCTGAAGGTCACAGATGAGAATCAAAAAATATCATGTTAAGTCTAGTACAGTTAGAAAATGGTCCAAAGAGGGCAGAAGCAGCACTTTATGTGCTGACAGCTGAGAAAAAAACAGGTTAGTTTCACACCAATTCACACTGAAACACCATTTAAAAAGTGCGAAAAGCTAACATCAGAGTGAAAAGGGGACTACTATGGTGTTATCAACCTGGAACAATATCCCTAACATAGATCATTTAAAGGAGACAAAGGTAGAAAGCTTGCCAGAGAAAACTCCAAGACAGACAAAGGTAAGCTGCAGCTGGCCATGGTGGTACACACCTATAATGTCAGCACTCTGAAGTCTGAAGCAGAAGTATCACCCTAGTTTGAGGCCAGCCTCAACTACACAGTAGTTTACAAAAAAAAGAAGAAAAAAAGAAAACAAAGTTGTAAAACAGAATATTAATTTGTGCTGGAAAGGCTTTCTTTTTTTTTTTTTTGAGACAGAATCTCCCTACATAGTCCAGGCTGGCCTTGAGTCCTCAGCCTCCAGAGTGCTAGGATTACAGCATGTTTCATCACGCCCAGCTCAAAAAGGCTTCTGAAGTAAGATTTCGATTTACATCAATGTCATGTTTAAATCAGAAGGAATTTACAGTCTCCCTTAGAAATCCACTCCTGTGTTCACCCTCAAAGCTGAGAGCCTTCCCTTTCTCTAAATCCAAGTTAGTCACACTTTTGTTTAAGACTATCTCAGACTATTTCATTGGCTTCTGTTCTCATGAGAGCTGGAAAACTGGGAAAGGGGTCAAAATCTATAGGCTGATCTCATCATTCAAAGATAAAGAGGAAAAAGTGAAGCCTGACAGTTAAAGAACAGAGTTGAGGGCATCCTGAAGACCAGATACAAGTTCCTCCAGGAGAGTTCCATGAAAGCCCAGGGGAACATAAAATTTAAATGTTTCCTCTATTTCAGTTAAAATAAAGGTCCTGTTATTAATAATGTGCACAGGAGACTCTACATACATTTTTTCCATCTAGGAAATAAAACATTTTCCTAGGTATTAGTTAATAGTCTGGGTGCTTCATAATACCTAAAAACATAGAATGTTATCACAATTTTAGAACAGCTTTTAGAAGAGCCTACAGCACTTCGTTATTCATAATGGATTTAAAACAATTTTGGGGTGGTTACCTTACGTATCCAAAAACAGAAGAAAAGTTATTTTCTGATGTATTTTATCCTATATTCATCTTTATCAAACCTGAGAAGAGGCTAATGCAGGCAAGAATCCTTTTTCTTTTTTTTTTTTTTGTCTTTTTCAGACAGGGTCTCACTATGCAGTTCAAGCTGGCCTTGAGCTCACTTTGTAGCCCAAGCTGGTCTCAAACTCGCAATGATCTCCCGAGTGCTAGACTACAGGTGTGTGCCACTACGCCCAGTTTAAGAATCCATTCTTTGATCAAAGTAGCAAAAGCTGTGTATATTAAAGCAAAGAAGGCCGGGGATACAGCTCAGCAGCACAGTGCCTGCCTGGCGAGTGCAAGGCCCCAAGTTTGAGTCCCGGTACCAAAAAAAAAAAAGCAAAGTATAAATCTCTCTGGACTTACTATTATTATTATTATTATATGAAACAAAGTCTACTTCATTTTTAGTGGGAAGAGCACTAAACCTTAGTCAGCACTCCTTACCCTGCAGATATTACTGTTCTGAGAAGGGCCTCTTGGTGTGGATGTAGGGAGCTGCAGACAGAGACAACTGTGTCAGCACAGTCCACAGGGGAACAGAACACAAGACAGGAGAATGAGGCTGAAAGAATGATGGGGACAAACAAACCCATTACCTGTTTGCTATTCCCTCCTCCAAGAGTTGGATTACTTGCTTATAGTTGGTAACTACATGTTGAGATAGACCTATCAAGATTTGTGAGGGGAGAAAAGAAATCAGATAAAAATTATTTAAAAGAAATCAGATAAAAATTTAACCTGATTCTTTAGGCTAATTTCAACATTGATATTTCATACCAGTTGATAAACAAGAATGAGGAAATGGCTAAATTCAGATAATAAATTAAATCAACAAAAATTTACCGGAAACCTACTGTCAGGTACTAAGACAAGCTCTAGGAACAAAGGTTTCTGCCCTCACAGAGACTGTGTTCTGGAATTTGTGCTAACAATTCCTTGTAATTTTGCTATATAGGTAATAAGAAACATTTTCAGCCGTTACCTCACGTGGCCCTCACAAAATTCCTGAGATGAAGGGCAGGTGATATTTTGCCCACAAGGTGGCAGACTCAGGTTGGTACACAAAGCATAGAGTATCCACAGGTCTATCCTTCCACGGTGCACAATCCTGGAAAGTTACACTACCTATACAAGACAGCACAACCAAGTGCTACAGAAATAGGAGATAAAGTAAGGGCAGCAGAGCAGTGCTACAATCAGGCTCCATGGGAGAAGAAGGGAAACTTGAACTCAGTCACTATGGCAGGGATATGCTTTAAGACAGGTGAAGAGGAACCTAGGGGCATGTACAGCAATCTTTTATGGTTGGTACCAATCAGGTCACAAAAGGCCTCTGGAAGCCAGGAGTGGCGGCAAATGCCTATGATCCCAGCACTTGAGAAGCTGAGGCAGGAAGATCACCATGAGGTCAGCCTGGGCTACATACTGGTTTCAAGATCAGCCTGAAGCAAGACCCTGTCTCAAATTTTCTTTTAAAAAAAGGCCTCTGCAACCATGCTAGAGAATCTCTGTACAGTGTTAAGAGATTCAGAACAAAGAAACTTTATAGGCCTACTGCGGAATACAATAACAAAAATGAACAAAGTAATCTGAACAGTAGCTGAATTTTCTATAATTATGGAATGATTGTCATTACTTAGATGTGATAATTTTGTGGTTATATGTTTTAATTACTTTTTAGGGCCACATATTAAAAAATTCATAGATAAATTCATGTGACATCTAGAAGGAGCTTCAAAACGATACAGGATGAGGGACAATGAATGGGAATATAGATAAAGCAGGATTAACCCAGACTTAATGGTTACTGTAACAGGCACATGAGGTCATTACACTAGTATATCTAATTTTGCATATGTTCAAAATTGTCCGTAATAAAATGGTTTTACATCTCAAGTACAGAATTTTTGATAATTGCAAATTAACATATATAGACCACTAAAAACAACTAGAAAAGGTAGTATAAAATATAGAAGACATCTGCTTGAAGGCACAGAGGGATACCTACATAGTCAAATATATCCACTCCATACACTAGGGGAGGATGGAAGCCCAGAGACATGAAGCAGCATCTGCAGATGCTTTTGCCTGAGGACATCCGCCAGATCCTGGGGCAAAAGGCTGAGTGCAGTTTTCTCAACAGCCCTTTAAGAATGGAGAGGAGGGTACATACCAAAGCCTAGCAAGAAGAGAGCTTCTTTTTTTTTGGTTTTTTGTTTTTTATTTATTTTTGTTTTTTGAGACAAGGTCTCACTATGCTGTTGAGGTTGGCCTTGAACTCACTATGTAGCCCAGGCCGGCCTTGAACTCCAAGTGATCCTCCTGCCTCAGCCTACCAAATGCTGGGATTACAGGTGTGTACCACCACACCAGGCCCCTACTTCTTTTTTTTGAGACAAGGTTTCCCTATGTAGCCCAGGCTGGTCTCAAACTCATGGCGATCCTCCTGCCTCAGCCTCCTGAGTGCTGGGATGACAGGCATGTATCACCACATCCACCTCTAGTCGCTACTTCTTTTAGATGGAAACCCAAAGGACTCTGCAGGAATAACATGAACTAGAAGTACTGTAAATAAGTCTCTGAAAAGACTGCAGCTAAGTTGTGAACATTCTCAGTCTTGAAATGAGGTGATCCTCAACCAGTAGCATGCATGAGCTCTAGGCTGAATGAATATAAGTCGTCTTATATAGAAGACTTACGTAGAGGAAGAGTTTTAAATTATTTCTACACTTTTGTAAATACTTTCTGGTATAAAATTATAACCAAGCACACAAGTAGGCATGGCAATACAAATAAGAAAAAAAAAAAGTCAATAGACAGACAACTAAGCAAAACACAGATATCGGGGTTACCAGACAGAATTTGAAGTTAACTGCTTAACTATCTTCAAGGACCTAAATGACAAAAGGGCAAAATTTCAAAGAAAATTAGAAACTATAGTGGAAGAAACAAGTAGAAGTTCAAGACAAAAATTAAAGTGAAAACAAGAACTCAACAGTAAGTTAGACATAGCTGAACAATTAGTGAACAGAAAGGTCAGAATTTTATCTAAAATTTAGCAGAGAAAGACAAAACAATGGAACAGAGAGTAATAGTTACAAAGCACATTACAGAATAGATCTAACATATTTGTAATTAGAGTCCATAAGGAAAAAAGAATGAGTAAAAGCAATATCAGAAAAATTAATAACTAAGAACTTTGCAAAACAGGTTATGTTTTGTTCTGGTTTTTCTGCAGTATTAAGGACTGAACCCAGGACCTTTACACTGAGCTACAACCTTAGCTCTTTTTGTTTTGTTTTTTGTTGTTGTTTTTAGAGGAAGAGTTTCTATGTAAATTCAGGCTTGGCCTTGAACTCACTATGCAGCCCAGGTTGGTCTGGAACTCGTGGAAGTCCTTCTGTCTCAGCCTTCCAAATTCTGGTATTATAGGTATGTGCCACCACACCCAGCTAGCCCTTTTCAAAAAAAAATGTTGAGACAGGCATGGTGGTACCTGTAATCCGAGGACTCAGGAAGCTGAGGCAGAAGGGCTATACAGTGAGTTTAAGACCAGCCTGGACTACATAGCAAAACCCTGTTCAAACCAAAAAATTGAGACAGTGTAGCATTAAGTTGCTAAATTGCCCAAGCTAGGCTCAAATTTGCAATCCTCCTGCCTCAGCCTCCCAGAATGCTGAGATTATTGGCATGTACAATTACACACTATAAAACTGATTGTAGAAATTATATCTATCTGTATGTATATCGTAGAGTCACATATGATTTCAAAAAATTTAAATCTATCCCTAGGTATTTCATTATAAAACACTAAAATTTGAGCCAGCTGTGGTGGCACACACCTGCAGTCCCAGTTACCTGAGAAGGTAAGGTAGGAGGATCACTTAAGTTCACAGATTAGAGACAAGTCTAGGTAACAAAGTAAGACCCTCATCTCAAAAAAAACAAAAAAGATATACTATATTCATTCAATCAAAAGCTAAGAGAGTGTGTCAATAGCAGACCCACTTTACAGGAAATACAACCAGCTTTCACTGTCCTGAGTTCCACATCCATGGATTCAACCAACTATGCACTGAAAATATTTTTTAAAAATTTACTGCTCTTCTGCTTTTCATACCAGGAACTGAACTCACAGCCTCACGCTTGCCAGACAGGCACTGTGCCAAGCTACATCCCCGGCCCTTAAAAATTTAAATAACAATACATTTTTTAAAATTTTAAAATATAAGATAGTAACTGTTTACACTGAATTGGGTACTGTAAGTAATTTAGAGATGATGCAGAGTTTACAAGAGTGTGTGCATAGATTATATACCCATAGGTAAATACATACTACAGCATTTTATATCAAGAACTAAGGATCTGAGTACTTTGGTATCCACAGAGTCCTAGAAACCCCCTACCAGAGATACCAAGAGACAACCATATTAAAGTTGGAGTTGTTTTTAATTTTTGTGGTATTGGGAACTGAACTCAAGGAGCACTGAGGTGCACTCCCCAGGCCCTTTTAATTCTGAGACAAGATTTCACTAAAGTGCACAGGCTAGCCTCAAATTGGAGACCGTTCTGCCTCAATCTTTTGAGTAGATGGGATCACAGGCATGCAGTTAAAGGTTATTTCTCAGGCTGGAGAAACTCCCATGCAGAAGATAAGAAATGTTTTTAAAAGTAAAAATTAAAAAATGGCATATAAGAAAGAATAAATGGAAATTAAGTTCTCTATAGTTTTTTCACTGTCTGGGAAGAAGTACCAGTTAAACTGGTGTGGTGGCACAGGCCTGTAATCCCAGCATTTGGGAAGCTAAGGCAGGAGGATTGCTGCACATTTGAGGCCAGCCTGGGCTCTACAGTAACTTCAAGCCAGCCTAAACTACATAGCAAGACCCTGTCTCAAAAATAAAATTAATAAATAAAAATAAAAAGAAGCACTAGTTAACATTGGTTTTTTTTTTTTTTTGGTACTAAGAATCGAACTCAGGACCTTGTGTCTGCCAGGGAGGTGCTGTGTCACTGAGCTATATCTCCAGCCCTAGATTTTGATATTCAGTGGTCCATGTTATAATTTCAAGTGTAACCACCAAAACAATGAGATAATGTGCAAACAATAAGCCAATAGAGTAGAAACACATGATAATGTTAAAAAGTAATAAACCTGAACTACAGGGTAAAAAAATGCAGCAAGGGGCTGAGAATATAGCTCAGTGGAATCGCGCCTGCCTGGCAAGCACAAGGTCCCAAGTTCAATTCCAAAAAAAAAAAAAAAAAGGCAGCAAGATAAAGAGAAAACACAAAGTTATAGATTTAAACCCAAATAAAACTAGTAATTACATTAAACAAATACACACCACAAGCTCAAATTCAAAGACCAAAACTGTGACATTTAGATAAAGCAAAGGGCAAATAAACATTTTTATAAGATATAAATCTAAAACATAGATACAGAAAGGCTGAAAGTTTTTTCTTTTTTTAATTTTATTTTTTTGAAAGTTTTTTTTAAAAGGGTAAATATAGTGCCACACATAGTGGCACACACCTGTAAGACTGAGGGAGGAGGATCACTGCAACTTCCAGGCCATTCTGGGGTACACACGGAGACCCTGCCTCCCCAAAAAGGGGGATGATATAAAACATTAACCAAAAGAAAGCTAGATTAATTATGGTAAAGTCTGAGACTTTTTTTTGAGACTGGGTCTACGTTGTTTAGGTTAGCCTTACTCAAGGAAATCTTCCTGCCTCAGCCTCCTAAGGCTGCGATTACAGGTGTGCCTCACTACACCCACTTAAGAGACACTTTAAGACAAAAGCACTACTAGAGATAAAGAATCCTTCACAATGATGAAAGGGTTTTCAGGGATAAGAGCTGAGTGGTAGGGGTTCGATTCCCAGCACCACAAAAAGGAGGTGGTGGGTAGAGATTTCAATTCACCAGGAGTATCTATATACCTAGGGTTTCTAATTTTGTTTGCATATGAAGCTGCAAAACACATAAAAAAATTGACAGAAGAAAAAAACATAATCCTTTCATCTATAATCCATATCCATAATCCAAATCCACAATCCATAGGGATTATTAATTTGCCTTTGCTAGTACTTATTTTAACAAGCCGAAAAAAATGCAACAGCATTACAAAAGATTTAAACAATACAACTAGCAAGCTTGGTAAGCGCTAATACTGTAATATTGTGCCCAACTGTAACATGCTCTATTTTCAAGCACAGGTGAAAAATTTAGAAAAACTGACCAATATGCTCAATGGCATGAAGTTCATAAGAGTCAAAAAAAGACAGGAGTCCCCCCCGGCCAAAGTGCACTAGACAGCACCCTAACCAAATGCACCCTGACTCTAATGGGGACAACTAATCATTCAGATGGGACGGAAGGAGCAAATGATAGTAACTGATCAAAGCTAATTTAGGAACTTAGTGAAATCACCTCAAAATTTGATAAAAAGGGGCTGAGAGCTGGGTGTGGTGGTACATGCATGTGAATCCCACCACTTAGGAGGCTGAGGTAGGATTGCCATGAGTTTGAGGTCAGCCTGGGCTACACAATGAGTTCAAGGCAAGTTTGAAATACATGGCAAGACCCTGTCAAGAAGAGGAAAGGAGAAAGTAGCAAAAAGTCTTTCATCCTTTGGTTGCTTAAAGGCAGTCTGGAGTTTACCAAACCATAGGAAATACAGATGGGTATTTCTTAGTGAAGGAATTGTGAGTTCAGTGGTATAGAAACAGGAAAGTTGAAAGGGGATAGGGAAACGGAAAGGAAAAGGAAAAGGAAAAGGAAAAGGAAAGAGAGGGAAAGTAGTGGTGGCTGGGAATGAAGCATAGTGCAAAGCTCCTGTGTTCAATCCCCAATAATGAAAAAAAATATATATATATGAAAAATGGTAGCTGAGCACTGTAGTACAAACATATAATCCTAGCTACTCAAAGGCTGAGGCAGGAGGACTGCAAGTTGAATGCCAGCCTGGACAGCTTAGTGAGATCCTGTCTCAAAATAAAAAGGGCTGGGGATGTTATTCAGTGGTAGAACACTTGCTCAGCATGCACTGAGGCTCTGGATTCCATCCTCAGCATCACCACCAAAAAAAACAAAAATGAGGAGCTGGGGATTTAGCTCAGCGGCAAAGCGCCTGCCTGGCAAGCGCAAGGTCGTGAGTTCGGTTCCTGGTACCGGAGAAAAACCAAAAAAAAAAAAAAAACAAAACAAAAATGAGTAAGTTGTGACACTATGGTATCGATTCACAGTCTGCCTTGAAAGTACTGCTTTATACAAAAATGTATGTCTACAGAGTTTTCCAAAGGAAATTCACATTGCTTCCTAGCAAAGAAAATGGTATTTTTTTATGTTTCCTAGCTGCTGTTTATATGGAACACTTGGGAAAACAGACAAGATCAGAAACTTTGACCCCACTGGGTCATCTATTAGCTATGCCTGACCAGAAGAGACAAGCTCACGATCTTTCATGTCCCTCTCCTTGTCAGGATCTAAATTAGCATACTGTGTGAGAACAGGAACATACCATTTATGTTACTTCTTATAAATGTCATGAAAGGGTAAAAACTTCTTTCACAAAAGAACCTAACTGTCGACTGGAGATGTAGCTCAGCAGCACAGTGCCCGTCTGGCAAGCACAGGGTCCTGAGTCTGATTCCCGGTACCAAAAAACAAAAACAAAAACAAAAAAACCCTAATTATGCCTACTTACTGTATTTCCCTGAAAATAAGACAAAACCAAAAAATAAACTCTAGAATGATTTTTCAGAATGCTAATATAAGCTCTACCCTAAAAATAAGCTCCAGTTAAGATCATCAGCCAGACAGACACATTTAGTATGTCTACTGCAACACATGATATATCAAATGATAAAATAATATTAACACTGTGTATAATTAAATATAAATAATATTATTGACAGTACTTAAAATAACTGGTAATATAAATTATAATGAAGTATTTGTAAATTTCCAAGTGGGTACCTTTGAAGAGGTAAACACCTGTGTAAACAGATGAACTTAAGACTTCTTGCCAAATGACACAGTACAGACACAATGCATGAATAACGTGTGCACCTGATAATGAATGGATGTGGCTGTGTCTAATGTGAATGTTCATAATTCAATACATTGTGTACTGTAATAGATATACTTAATTCACTCATGTAAAATAGAGAAGCATTTTCTGAATTTTGGTCCCTGCAATTTTTCATCAGGATGTGTGGACCATCATCCTTAAATGTCATCATTTTTGTCGCCACTCCTACCTCGTAGGTCTTCAATTAACACTTGATTTAATGCAAACTCTGAAGCCCAGCCTGCAAGAGGTTGTTACTTGGATGCAGAATTCATGGAATAAAATCACTGACTGCTGTGTTGCCAACGCACTAGGAGCAGCTACATGGACAGGAAGCGCTCATTTAAGGAGAGCTCTACTGCTAGGCTGTAGATCCAACCTGTTCCAGGCCGCCTTCCCGACACTCACCATGCTTTGGCCACACTGGCCTCCCCGCTCTCTTCACTGTACCACTCCTCACGGGACTGGCTCCTTCATGGCCTTTAGCTCTCAATACTACCTCTCAGGAAAGCTGCCCTTAACACCAGACAGGCGGCTTGCCTACACTTTCCAAGGTTCTTTCCCATCACTCTATCTACTTACATTTTTATTAAGTTTTATCACAACTTCCAATTTGTTATCTGTTTCTGAGTGTAAGCTTGCCCACCCAGATAAGGGAAGGACCTTATCTTTTCTATCCAGTGTTTGGTACGTGGCCAGCACATGGTTGAGTATTCATTACACACATGTGGAAAGCATTAGGGAACATTAGGAACAGTTCCCAGACCTCAGTTTGGTCTCAGACTTCTAGCACACAGTAGCTCACCTTGTACATAAGGCCCCATCTCTGGATGTTCCCTGACCCTCAGGGTATAGGACTTTTTTTGATCAGACTGCTTCAACAGATCCCGTACCCGTTCATTATAGATTTCCAGAAAACTAGAAAAGAGACAAATGTAATACAATTAAATTTTTAAAAAAGAAAGAAAATTGCTAAGCTAATAATTGGAAGGTTCTAAGTTTGTTTTTAAATTCTTTTAAAAAATTTTTAGAAGGTTCTAGGTTCTTGTTCCAGATCTACCTCTGCCAATCTAAGGTCTTAATCAAGCCAGACCTTCCCCTTGAGTATCTTTTTCCATAGGCTGGAGCACTGGTGGTCACCATACCAGTGTTGGCTTTGATGTCTATGCTGATCTAAAATTAGCCCTCCAGGGCTACTTCAGTATAGTTTTTAGGGTATTCTGTCACCAGACAGTGGCCTGATCAGACTTTTACATGTGATCCTTCTATTGTTCTGTAAAGGTTGTTCAAGGGCCACTACCAAGCAATGAGGGAAACTAAGTTAAAAAGGTCCAGTTCCATCAGGGCATGGTGGTGCATGCCTATAATCTAAGCACTCTGGGAGGCTGAGGCAGGAGGACTGTAATGCAAGAGTTGTCTGCTGTGGCTTTTCTCTATCCTTCTGATGACACTGCAAGAAGAGAGGACAGCTAAACATGCTGAACTTGGGAACAGAAATAGGGAACATTTCAGGTCCTGGAGCTTGATGGGCTCTTACCTCACTTTTATCCTACAGGAGGATAGTAAAGAGGCACAATCTTCCTCTCTGATGAAGAGACCCTGCACAGACCAAAGAGGTGGGATGTCACTGAAGGGAATAGACAAAGGAGACCTACTTTAGAGAATCCAGTCAAGAGAGTCTATACCTCACATATCCGTGGTGTCAGCCCAACAGAGGCCTGGAGAACAGAATAAAGGAAAGTATTACTGTTTACTCTGAGCAGTGGTCCCCCCGATCCAATATTCTGGAAATCCCCTCAGGATGAAGGATGAGCCTGTGGCTCTTTGCATTAGCCTTTCTACATGAGGTGGCTTCACTGAAGTATACAGAAGATTTAGGTGCCCATGTTATCAAGACACTTGGGAAGACGGTGGCACATGCCTGTAATCCCAGCACTGGGGTGGCTGAGACAGGAGGACTGCTAAGAGTTTGAGGCCAGCCTGGGGCTACATAGTGAGTTCAAGGTCACCCTGAACTACATAGCAAGAACCTGTCTCAAAAATCACCACCCTCCCCACAAAAAACATTAAGAAACACTTGCAAGAGGAAAGCACCGATGAGAGACAAATGATCGCCGTAACACAAAGGGTGGAGAATCTAGCAAACCCAGACATGTGCCTTCATGCAATGAAGATGACATCCTTCTTGAATAAGCCTGCTTTACTACTGTGCCCTCAAGATCCCTACCTCTTATCCCTAAACACTGCAGGATTATAAGACATGGAGGCTATAAAATATGTATCTGCAGAGAAGTAGCTTCTTTCTCCATCTTATATCCACTTTAGGGGCTTTATGCTCCTTGGTTTAAGAAATAATTTCTTCTTTGAAATTTAAGTACACAAAACCACACTAAACAGGCACAAAGGAAGCAATGAGTGGGGCCCAAGGTAGCGGGATAATCCTTTAGGAGGAACAGTGTCCTACAGAACACCACTGCACAGTGTCATCTGCTACCCACTCTACAAGTTCATCTCTCTAGGATACTTCTGAACCTAGAACAAGAAGTTTTTGTGTTTTTTTGTTTTTGTTTTTTTGAGACAGGGTCTCACTATGTAGTACAGGCTAGCCTTGAACTTGAGCATGTACCCAGGCTTCCCTCAAATTCAACATGATCTTCCTGTCTCAGCCTCCGAAGAGCTGAGAGCTGGCATGTGCTACCATACCCAGCTCTAGAAGTATCCTTAAGGAATACTTCCCTCCTAACTTTCAGCGATAAAGGAGGCCTTCATTAAACCCTACTTACTTTTGACAGTTCTCAGCCCCCAGTTAATTCTCCTGCTTCTTTCTTACATATAGATCTAACACATGTAGCCTTTGAATGAGGCTAAATAACCTCACCTATGCCCAGCCCCAGTCAGCACTAAAGATTCAGTTTAGGTCTATCCAGAACAAAAGTGTTAAGATACTTCTAGTGATGAACTTGGAAATAATATAACAAATTCAGTCAGTTTGGCAAGGACTCCTTTGTCCAAGACACCTATAAAATTCTAAGATTCTTCAGAATCTAAGACAGAGGAATGAATTATTCAAAGTTTACCTTGCAATTACAGTAGTGAAAAGCTCATTTTAAGTATAGAAGGGGGCTCAAGTAAAATCTTGCTAAAGTTGCCTGACTATGTAAATCATGTTGTGTCACACTGGCAAGGACAATACAAGATACAGGTCTGCTGTGGCATTCAGAGGTAGCTCATGATAGTGTTAAGACTCACAGGGGTCCCCAGCATGGTATATGTCTTCCCAGAGCCTGTCTGTCCATAGGCAAAAAGGCAGATATTATAGCCCTCAGCAGCTCCGGATAATACTTCAGTCCCCAAATCCTGGAACACCTGTGACAACAAAAGGAGAGAAAATGTCAATGGCGCCTATTGAAAACTTAGAAATTTTTAATCTATAAAAAGTATAAAATATTTCAAGCATATATACTGTAAATTCCCATTATTTCATAAGAACCAATTCAGTTTTGGAAAAATATGACTAAGGAAAATTTAGTCAATCATTCAACTATTTTTTAAAGTGCCTACTGTATGCCACACGTAATACTAGATATTAAAGATTTAAAAACTATATGGTCTCTAGTCTTTTTTTTTTTTTTTTT